GATGTGTGGACTTCAACTCCCAGAATTCCCCAGCCAGCCATGGGGAATTCTGGGAGTTGAAATCCACACATCTTAAAGTTCCCAAGGTTGAAAAACCCTAGTCTAGTGAGACACCCAAGACTTTAAACTGTTTTGAGTGGCAATTCAAAAGGCATTTTGTGAATTCAAGTCAACCTTGCTAACGTTGCTATTTATCAGGAACAGGAGCTTTCTTGGAGGACTGGAGCAAGACTACATTCCAGACTGGTTTCCTTCAGCCAGTTACTCCTGATGCAATGGGCTTCAAGTCCTCCACATTCCGGGAGAAACAGCCTAAACCCATTAGAAGGGCATTACTTTGTGGATGGCAGCTCCAGACAAACACCAGACCTGAAAAGGAGGATGGTGGGGAAAGGCTACATAAAGTTTCCTGAAGACAACTCAAAAGAGAGCCCACTGGGAGTTCTTTTTCCAAAGCCACCCCAACAAATCTTTTTTTTTTTAAAGCAAACTCTTTTCAGGTGTTTTCAGACTTCTTTTTCCTCTCAAGGCTGGCTGGGAATTCTCCATGGCAATCCTAGCACATGTGGAAGGAGCCCAGTTGGGACAGTTTGATGTAAAACCAGCAGTCTATATTTCCTCAAGTCATCAAAGAAATATTTCTTGAGTTACTTTCTGTTTCATTTCCATCATGGCTGGGAAAGAACATTATTTGGAAGCATCTGGATCTAGTAGTCAATATTTATAATTAAAGCTTTAAGACCAACTTTCTGCTTTATACACAAAAGATCAGCAACTCACCACATATAACCCTTTACAGCAATCCCATTAAATACATGGGATCTGCAAGGGCAGATGATTTGTAAAGGCCTTTGTCTTAGAAGGTTAGGGGTACCAAGACAAAGGTATAGCTGAGGAGTCAACTAGGAACATGATGTCCAGCTGCAATCTCTCTTTCCAAAAAATACTCTTTAGATAAGAAGAAAAAAAGGCTTTTAGGACACCACAAGTGTTCATAGTCGTACACCCAAATCTGTCCCAAGTGCTAAAATGACCCCATGCATCTTCATTTTAATAGACCAAGTACCTGGAAGTAACACTCACATAGACAATGTTTCACCCTCACTTTTCTTTTCCTTAACTTTGGAGTTAAGTTGGACTTGAAAGCCTTCTTTAGAAGGTTTCTCAGTGCCAAAATTGAACACCAGTGAATGGCTGCCTTCTTCTGTCAGTATTTTTATATAAGCGATTTGAGGCAAGTTTTATTATGGAAATGTAAACTTGATGCCCCCATTCCTGAGCATGTTTGTGAGTGTTCATTTACACCAGTGTTGTCCAAACTTGGCCACTTTAAGATGAGTGGACTTCAACTCCCAAAATTCCTCACCCATGCTGGCTGGGGAATTCTGGGAGTTGAAGTCCACTCAACTTAAAGTGGCCAAGTTTGGACAACACTGATTTACACACATGAGTGCAATATATTTGTATACAATAGTAAGTCTGGTCTAGGGGTGGAGAGAGTAGAAGCTGAAAGGAAGCAGAGGTTTGGTGAGAAGTAGAAATAAATTAAAGACCACAATGAGAATCCAAAAACGAGATGCAATTTGTTGAAGTACCGTCAGAAGTTTAAACATGTGCTAAATATGGCCAAAGGAATAGGTTGTTGGGTAGTGGGGAAATTTGGTTATTGTCAGAAGCAGCCCCTGATTCAGACATGCTTAAGAAAGAAGAGACATGACAAATTCTAAGGATCTCCTTAGTCTGAAATAGGGGCATCGGGAGGGGTGTGTGTGTGTGTGTGTGTGTGTGTGTGTGTGTCACAAAAGTCAAGGTGATACCCATAGCTGTGACCACACAAACAAAACCAAGCTCCTTT